AAAAAAAAAAAAAAAAAAAAAAAAAAAAAAAAAAAAAAAACGAAAACAAAAAAAACAATGGCATCATAGATGTCAACAGCTTTTCAAGTTGTAAAGCTTTTGATGTTTTAAAGTTTTCAGCTTTCCACCGAGCAGCAGGTCTCGCCATCTCTTACATCTATGCATGAATCTATACATGAATGCATCCCTGCCAATGTACCATAGGTGGTGACCGTTACATCTCCTTTAAACATTTTCTATTTCTTTGAAAAATGAGTTTGAACATGTTTTTATTTTGGACACTCAGTAATATAAACATGCAAAAATAATTCTTAAGGACAAGTGATACAGATAGAAGGCTCCTGGGACACGCTCTCATGGCTATGGAATGTCCAGCGTGGTCAGGAAGGACAGCAAGGAGCTGTGTGCAGTGCGGCTGGCGCTCGATGGCGATGATGATGTCAGGGCTACTCACCAGTTTGGTGATCCCCCCGTACTGCCTCACCACCCGCCGTGCTCTTTTAAACTTGGCGACATTCGCGATGGTCTCAGCTGCCAAACACTTCAGACTCTTGTGTGGAGAATCAAGTATATTCACCATAATTGGTAAGCCCCCAAGGTCAACAATATTACGTCTGATTTGCGGATTATGACTGATTTCCTTCAGTATTTTTAATGAACCAATCTGCGTGAGAAAAAAAGAAAAAAGATGAGTGGTGAATTTGTAACCCGTGCTATGTTTTTAAAAATTCTGAGTCTACCTAAAATCCTTCCCCAGTTAAGTTTTTTAAGAAATAGTTTCCATTCCCAGAGGTTACACACATCCTGCATATTCTTTTTCATTTATATAAACAATCCTCATTCAGGAAGCATGAGGGACAAATGGAGAAGAGCGAAAGAAGAAAAGCAGAGAAAGGAGAAAGTGCAGCAAACAGAATTAGCAGGTCATCAGCAATAATAGCAGATAAAGACAAGAACCAGGCAGCAAAGAGCCCCAGGAAGGTGGGAACAAGACTCCACATCCATTGTGACAGAGCCACTCACTTTACATTTGACTTCATCAGTTTCAAGCAAATTTATCAGCACTTCCAGGCCTCCAACATCTCTGATGGCCAACTGGCAGGTTTCTTGAGCTAAGTTGAAATCCCTCATTGAACACAACGCAATCACTGTAGCTGTCTGATTTCCTCCCTATAAAGATGCAATGTCAGAGAAAGGTTAAGTAAGACCATGTTCCCATAGAAATGCACTAAATAGTTATGAATCCATGAACTAGGAAACATGTCTCTGAGTGGGCTAGAATTTGTTAAATGGATCTGGTAGAGTTAAAACACGGAAAAGCTGTACAGAGCATCGTAAAACATTGTTCCAATTAAGAGTCAACATTAAAAGTGGGCTGTCTCCTTTAAACAGCCATAACATCAGGCAGTATTCATCTATTAAAGAGAGGCATGGGGCCAGCCTTGAGAGGCTGACTGAGGAACGGAAGACATACATGGAGCTAAGAGATGGTCCCCCCAGTTCTTGAACAGTGTATTGCATGATGCAAAGCACGTCTGAAAATTATTCCTACAGATGTGCATAGAACACCCTGGAATAGGGAGAACCCAGAGAAAAGGAAACCATGCAGGAAGCGGCACTGTAATCCATACTGGAACCTAGAGTAGGTGGTGTGAGGGACATGGAGTTGGGAAAAGAGAAGCAATCCAATAGGACCTGGAAATCAATGGGATGGGCAGGACAAAGAAGAGTGAAAGCATCAATGTGGTGAGCAAAATCCTGGCCCAACACAGAGAGTCCTGCAAGCCAATGTCTTCTTAGTGAATCACTATATGTAAAGAGTACTGGTGAGATGCTTCTTCAGGATTCAAAAAAAGAAAAAAATCTGAAAGATTAAAAATAAAACAAAATGATTGACCAGTGAACCAAATCTGCCAGGAGATTAAAATCAGAATTCTCTGCAGGAATTCTTAGACAATGTCCACTGGTCATTTCTGCTTTGAAAATCTTCTAAGGAGTAGTACATAGTATTGCTACTGCTACTCAGCTGGCTGATAAACAGGAGTTCTGACATCAGCATTGAAGCAGCTCATCACACACAAAAGCAAGATTGCTGTTCATTTTTGCAAAAGGTGTTGGCAATAGACAAGCCTTTGATTCCTGCTTCAAAACATAGTAATGATGTTTTAAGGGAATACACCTTCAAATTATGTTTATTTCCATTTATTAAGCATTATAATATACTGCCATTATTTATCTGTATATATATATAATTATGTATATAAATAGATTATATATACATAGTAAATAAGGTAAACATCTATTTTATAAATTTATACATTATCTATTTTATAATTTTAAAATATATATTTAAATACATAAAATATACATTATGTTTATATATAAATTTAACATTTTAAATACATTGTACATAATAAATATAAATACAAAAATGTAACATCGAGATGCCATCTCACGCCAGTTAGAATAGCGATCATTAAAAAATCAGGACACAACAGATGCTGGGGAGGATGTGGAGAAACAGGAACACTTTTACACTGTTGGCGGGAGTGTAAATTAGTTCAACCATTGTGGAAGACAGTATGGCGGTTCCTTAAGGATCTAGAAATAGAAATTCCATTTGACCCAGCAATCCCATTACTGGGTATATACTCAAAGCATTATAAATCATTATATTATAAAGACATATGCATATGTATGTTTATTGTGGCACTGTTTACAATAGCAAAGACTTGGAACCAACCCAAATGCCCATCAATGATAGACTGGATAAAGAAAATGCGGCATATATATATTTATATATATATATACATACACACACACACACACACCATGGAATACTATGCAGCCATAAAAACGGATGAGTTCATGTCCTTTGCAGGGACATGGAGAAAGCTGGAAACCATCATTCTCAGCAAACTGACACAAGAACAGAAAACCAAACACATGTTCTCACTTATAAGTGGGTGTTGAACAATGAGAACACATGGACACGAGGAGGGGAGGAACATCACGCACTGGGACCTGTTGGGGGGTGGAGGGGTAAGGTAAGGGAGGGATAGCAGGGGGTTGGGGGATAGAGAAGTGATAGCATTAGGAGAAATACCTAACATAGATAACAGGGTGATGGATGCAGTAAATCACCATGGCACGTGTATACCTACATAACAAACCTGCACATTCTGCACATGTACCCCAGAACTTAAAGTATAATAAAAAAAGAGAAAAAAAGTATATTTCTATATATAAAATACATAATATTATAATAGGCTTAGCACAGACCATGGAAATTACACACCAGCTGCCAAACTCCCTCTTCCCTAGCGCAAGCTTGTGCATACACAAATCTTCTTGTGAATTCAATACAATAGGTTATTTTTTAAAATATTTTTAATTTATATATAACAGTTGTATGTATTTTGAGACTACACGTAATAATCCTATGTATGTATAAAATGTGTGGAGAGTAAATCAGGATAATTGAGATATTTATCGCCTCACACACTTTTCTTTGTGGTGGGAACTTTACAATTCCCCCCTCCTAGCTATTTTGAAATATACAATAAATTATTCTTAACTATAATTTCTTTACTATAGTAGGGAACTTACACTTAGTTGTACTATCTCACTGTATTGTTGTACCTCTTAACCAATTTATCTTCATCTCTTTATGCCCATGTCTTATATATAATAAGGTTAACACAGAAAATGGAAATTACATACAAGCTGCCCACACCCCTCTTCCTTCATATCACACATGTACACATATGCAGATCCTCTTGTGAATTCAACACAAGACTTTTAGAATAAGAATCCGAAATGGGATCACCAGAGGATCCAAAGTGAAAACAGAAAGGTTGAGATGTCAGCCTTTTTTCTTACTCCTTTTAAGAAAATTCCTTCTATGCTTCTAGAAATGTTCTCAACAACTATCCCGTGAAGATGTCACTGACAATTTTCATTTTCCATATGAATGCTCCCAATAGATGCACCAGGCTGTCTCTACATTCACAATTTAGAATGACTAGAGTTTTACTATTAACACATAAAATAAGTCATGTACTTACAGCTTTTAGTGTCTTTTCTACTTCCTGTCAAGGAGAAAAGTCACCACCACCAATATCACCAATTTTCATACATTGGTTTTGAAATATGAAATTTAAAATTCCTCTCTATGTCACATTCATAAACTCCCATATTTGGGTGCACAAGACTCCCATAAGCCAATACTTCTGTTTCCTCTTTAGAAAAACAAAAGGCAGATATTTTATAAGCCATAAAGAAGAATCTAGTATGAGTGTACAGGCATGCACCTGTAATCCCAGCTACTTGGAAGGCTGAGGTAGAAGGATTGCTTAAGCCTAGGAGTTGGCTGCTGAAGTGAGCTTTGATCACACCACTGCGCTCCAGGCTGGGCAACAGAGTGAGACCCTGTCTCTGGAAACAAATTAAAAAAAATAATAATAATAAAGGAGACTCTAAATGCTAACTATAATTAAAGGAAATTAAATCATGCACAAAAAGAAAGAACAAAGAAAATAAGAAAAACAATTCATTTGAATAAAACTCCTTTTTTTCTGAATTTAAAGGTTAAAAGGAGCCAGAATCCTCCCCAGAAGTGTCTGATGGAGCAGAGCAATGTTCCTATATTAAGAGTTTGGAAATCCAAACCAAGTGCTTCAGCTAGAGAGAGTTCTTTAGGCGGAGGCTTCAGACTTAAGCATGACTAGAAAGTGCAAGAAGACATGGCACAGTGTGTCATGCCTCGGTTAAGCCAAGAGCCTCCTCCCACCCCAGATCCACTCTGTGAAGAAGAATGTGCCATCCTGACATTCTTAATTGTGCATGCTGAGGACTTTCTTGACTGCTATTCTTGCATTATAATATTTGCTTTGGTAGCAATTTTTGGGCTTATACACTCAGCGTAATCTTTGTTTCCTATTTCAAGTTGTCTTAATTTTTCTCTTCTAGACGATTTCCCCATCTTTTGGGCTTTATTTCATTATTTACACTATAACCAATGACATAAATTCTTAAAGGCCATTTAATTGCAGCAGATGTCCCAAAGGTAAGAGTTTATATTTTTCTGAATTACCTCTAGGCTAATTTATAATGCAAAAGACTGACAATTTACAGTTATCATCAAGAATTTAGATACTTATAGAAAAAAAAAATTCTGTAAATCATCAGCTTTTTTTCTGAAAATCTGGAAACATATTCATAGGCTTGAGGGATTTTTTTTTAGAACAGTTTTATATTAGGGAAAGTTAGTTTTTCCACATTTCAGGATTTAGTTCTACTCTTGTCACTGACCACACTCCCAAAAGGATTATAAATCTTTCAGAATGAATACCAGAGGACAGGAGCCAAAATATTCAACATACAGAGCCACAAAAGTTAGCCAATTGCTATTCTTTAAATACCAGCTATGTCAAAGGATTTTTGAATGTTCGTTCCACTTTGTCCAGATGCCATAAACATCGAACTGAGAAGAAAACGTGCAAATACACTCCTTTGTCAACTAAATCTCCCCTGAGAATATAATTAGTTACCAATACGTATTTTCACATTTTATCATGCATTTGCATTTGTGAAGTTTTAAGAGCTAGAGAAAATACACTAAAATATGATTTTACTAGCTTCTGAAGGGCTTTGAAAAATGCTTCCAATAAGCTTTTTCGCTTCTTAAATTAATGCAATTCTTTTGCTAGTTGTCTGCCTGCCCCTGTTTCTTTTCAAACATCTCCAGGCTCTGTTGGTCTTTGGATTTTTTTTTTTTTTTTTTTTTTTTTTTTGCAATTGGCATTCCTTCCAATGATCAGGAGACATTGGTTCACTGTCACCATTAGGTTTTAAACATGCAGAGATTAAGTGACAGTGGCTCTCTCTCACTATTGTTAAGATTTCTTTTTGAAAGACAAGATGAATTAAAGATATTTTCCTAAACGGTGGTGATTTTTAAAAATCACTTCAAATAAAATCTTTGAAATAAGCAAGTATTATCCCATCTGGTACATAGAGCAATGTCCCTCCCTTACCGTTGATAAGGAAGAAACAAACATTTGCTATGTGGAAATGAGCCATGTATTCAAGAGTAAAACAGGGAGTGGGCTGCCTCAAAACACTTTTATTTTGTTATTTCATTCAACAAATGTGTTGCCATGCTGGAT